ACATTCAAACATTCTAATTCATGAACCATATGAGTATGGTCAACTATATGTAAAGAAACTAGAAATGATGCAATAGCATCAGAGATTTTCCGTAGAGAACATACACCATATGATCCAATAGTAATGCATAACTCATATCGGTATGGCCAACATACTCATATTAACTTGCATTATGCAGTGGAAATCGAGATGTGTGTTCAGGTCCTAAATAGCTTTCATATATACAACACCAGATACAGTTGTGTTCAAAATAATAGCAGTGTGTTGAAAAAAGTGAATAAAGCTCAAAATCCTTCTAATAGCTTTTATTTAAATACAAACAAATGCTTTGGGAACACTACACATTCTATTCCAAATCAAAACATGAAGAAAAATATATCAAATTTGTGTTGTTCCTATAAAACTAATTGAAGAAAAGTGAATAATAGACTGTTCAAAAAAAATAGCAGTGTTTGTATTCTTCTTTACAAACTCAAAACATTCACTATATAAACTGAAAAATGTTTGAAGATTTTGCTTTCCTTTGAATCACTTAATATTTAGTTGTATAACCACTGTTTCTGAGAACTGATGTACATCTGTGTTGCATGGAGTCAACCAACTTCTGGCACCTGTGAACAGGTATTCCAGCCCAGGTTGATTGGACTACATTCCACAGTTCTTCTCTATTTCTTGGTTTTGCCTCAGAAACTGCATTTTTTATGTCACCCCACAAGTTTTTTATTGGATTAAGATCCAGGGATTGGGCTGGCCACTCCATAATGTCAATCTTGTTGGTCTGGAACCAAGATGTTGCACGTTTACTGGTGTGTTTGGGGTCGTTGTCTTGTTGGAACACCCATTTCAAAGGCATTTCCTCTTCAGTATAAGGCAGCATGACCTCTTCAAGTATTCTGATGTATTCAAACTGATCCATGATCCCTGGTATGCAATAAATAGGCCCAACACCGTAGTATGAGAAACATCCCCATATCATGATGCTTGCGCAACCATGCTTCACTGTCTTCACAGTGTACTGTGGCTTGAATTCAGTGTTTGGGGGTCGTCTGACAAACTGTCTCCGGCCACTAGACCCAAAAAGAACAATCTTACTTTCACCAGTCCACAAAATGTTGCGCCATTTCTCTTTAGGCCAGTCAATGTGCTCTTTGGCAAATTGTAACCTCTTCAGCACGTCTTTTTTTCAACAGTGGGACTTTGCGGGGGCTTCTTGCAGATAGCTTGGCTTCACATAGGCGTCTTCTAATTGTAACAGTACTCACAGGTAACTTTAGACCTTCTTTGATCTTCCTGGAGCTGATTGTTGGCTGAGTCCTTGCCATTTTGGCTATTCTTCTATCCATTCGAATGGTAGTTTTTCGCTTTCTTCCACGTCTTTCAGGTATTGGTTGCCATTTTAAAGCATTTGCGATCATTTTAGCTGAGCAGCCTATCATTTTCTGCACTTCTTTATATGTTTTTCCCTCTCCAATCAACTTTTTAATCAAGGTACGCTGTTCTTCTGAACAATGACTGTGTCAGGGATCCGGGTATGACCAGAAATGTGTGGACTGACACAGGGAAGTAACAGGCTTCAGGAATGATATAATAATATAATTATATCATATTATTATTAGCTACCGAAATATACAATGCTCAGTAAATAAACCAACCTTCCACTAATCTTAGTATGTGCAGGAACACAGGCGCAGTCAGGGCTGGAGAGGTGGAAGGGTCAGGCCGGCCATATGGTTCTGTTAACGACCGTCTGGTGATACCCCTAGCAGCAGACAGGATTCCCCAGGGCGCGGAGTCTAAGTCCCAGTCTGCTTATTCACCAGGGCTCCTGATGGTGGGGATGGACTTGGAGCAGACAGGAACCAGGTCGCGGCCCCTGAGTACACCTGCTCGTGGTAGAGGAATAAGCCAGAGGTATATGCAGGTAGGAAGCCTGATGTGAAGAGGCAGAAGGTGTGAGCAGGGATGGCTGGGATCTGTGCAGGATGGATGGATCATCTGGGTAGCGTAAGGCGTAGTCAGGCAGGCCAGGTCAGCAATGTGCGGGCAGCGAGGTACCGAAGGAGCAGGCAGAGAATAGTCAGGGTCACAAGCCGGGTTCAGGAACTCACGGGCAGAGCGGTACAGAAGATCAGGCAGAGAATGGTCAGGGTCACAAGCCGGGTTCAGTAACTCACGGGCAGCACGGTACAGAGGATCAGGCAGAAGGATGGTCAGGCAAGCCAGGGGTTAAACAGGAGACGGTCAGCAGGGTCAGGAGCAATGCAGAGTCGGCAACAAATCAGATAGGCAGAGGAACAGGAACACAGGATACAAGGTACAGGGGCTCATGGGAAACATACACCAAGGCCCTGATCACAGGCCTGGTCATTCCTTAAATACACCTCCTGCAATCAGGTCCAGGTGTTGGCTGACTGCAGGAGTGAGCTTCTGGCTGCTGAGAGCACTCGCTGGTCAGCCCTGGTACTGCATCCCACACGGCAGGTGAGTCCCACCACCAGTGCTGAGTCCATTCCTGACAGACTGGAATGACCCATTTTCCTCAGAATTTCAGAGAGAAATGCACTGTAACCAGCATGTACCACATTTGCTGCCTTCCTTCCTTAAATAAGGGCAATAATTGCCACCTGTTTTTCAAAGAATGAATGACCTCACTAATAGAACTCCACACTGCTATTATTTTGAACATGCCCCTTTTAATTAGTGATTCAATTACACAGAATCAGCAGCATGCATGTCATGACTGTTGGGTCTGTTGGATTTCTATTACTCTACTACACCTGCTAGTAAATTATTTGCCATGTAGAAATATCATTTCTACCAAAAACAGTGATTGATCAAGTTAGTGATGTCTGACTGCTATTATTTTGAACACAATTGTATGTGGCCACTTATTAACCCGTTTATAGCAAATTCTTGCATATATAAAAGGGGACTCTTAATTCACACACATTGCAATACAATTGCAATGTTCTAGATGGCCCCCTCTGGCCAGTCCATGCTCTGTCTTTCATATTGCCAACCCCCTATTTGCTAATATAGTGTACACACATCTCCATTTCCACTGCATTTTGCAGGTTAGTAATCAAAAAGGGAAGGGATGCCTGAAGTTACTGTATTCTTCAATAGAAAATCCTCCTTGTGTGTATATATTGTGGCAGTTCCGGACACTTTCACTGTGAGAGTCAAGGTTATATCCCAGGATTCTCAACTAAACAGGTTGAGGGGCTCCAGAGGCTTTACTTAATGCAGAGGAAACTGGCTTTTCAGTTTCCTCATTTGTTCGTAAAGTCCATTTTGGGATCTGGAGCCTGGAGATTTCAAAGTGATCTGGGAGGGATGAAATCTCCAATCCTGGGTCCGTGTTTTCTTTTTTTTTTTTTGCTTACAAACATTTTTATTTTTTAAGACGTAGGCTGTCATTACAGCAACAGGTAGAATATATAAATCAAAACAAGGCACATCTGTAGTATACATTCCAAAATGTACAATCATGTAAGGTAAAAGAGAGGTGGAGAGGTAGGCAGAGCTACATAGCTACCAACAGAGTAATTCAATCAATCAAATCTTGAGTGGTCATTGGTCATATAATAAATGCCTATGAGTTCTCCAAAGTAACCATTTTCTATCAAATAAGTGCACCTTATCCAATAAAGTATAATTAATTTTTTCCATTAGCATCACCGCATCAACTCTATGTAGAACTGTGGCCAATGGTACCATGAGGGATTTCCAGTGTAGGGCAATAGCCCATAGGGTGGATATACAGATGGTATGGATCAGCCTCATAACCTCAGTCTGAACTCCCAAGATATGAGCTCCCAGTAGGCAGGATGCATAGACAAATGTACCGGGGCACCTGCCACAGCAGAGGCCACTTTAGAGATTTTGTGCCACACCAATGAGAGGCTTGGGCAGGCCCAAAATATATCACTAAGGTACCAGCAAGGCCACACCCATGGAAACAAAGATGGGACATCCCTGGAAACATGACATGTAGTCTAGATGGGGCATAATACCATCGGGTTAATACTTTGAGGGCTGTCACAAACAGAGAGAGATCTAGAGTTCTTACGTATATTATCCACCATGGAATCCTGATCCTCATCAGAAAAAGTGACACCACTATCTGCCTCCCATTTCTGTCTATAAAGAGTGGGTGAGGGAAAGGTAGTAACCGAAAATTCATGTTTTCTTAACCCCCAGCACACTAATTGTACAGGTGTGTGCAGGGCTTTAAATAATAACCTGGCTAGGGTTCTGGGCTCCACCCTGGCAGACAGAAGGTTGTTGCCCAGAAGTCAGGAGGGCTCCACCTAGGAGAGGTGGGAGCAAGAGCAGCAAGGGGCAGCTAGCTGTATACCTGAAAGAGCCAGGAGGCTGAATCACTATATTGACACAAGTATTGGGATGCCTGTCTTTACACTCACATGAACTTTAATGGCATCCCATGTCTTAGTCCGTAGGGTTTAATATTGAGTCGGCCCACCCTTTGAAGCTATAACAGCCTCAATTCTTCTGGGAAGGCTGTCCGCAAGGTTTAGGAGTGTGTCTATGGGAATGTTTGACCATTCTCCCAGAAGTGTATTTGTGAGGTCAGGCACTGATGTCAAATGAGAAGGTCTGGCTCTCAGTCTCCACTGTAATTTCATCCCAAAGGTGTTCTATTGGGTTAAGATCAGGACTTTTGGTAGCATGAAATTGTCTCGGTATGCTGACGCCTTAAGAGTTTTCTTCACTAGAACTAAAGGGCCAAGCCCAACCCTTGAAAAACAACCGCACGCCATAATCCCCCCTCCACCAAACTTTACACTTCGCAGAATGCAGTCAGGCAAGTACTGCTCTCCTGTAACCGCCAAACCCAAACTCGTCCATCAGATTGCCAGACAAGAGAAGCGTGATTTATCTTTCTAGAGAACACGTCTCCACTGCTCTAGAGTCCAGTGGTGGAGTGCTTTACACCACTGCATCAGATGCTTTGCATTGCACCTGGTAATGTAAGGCTTGGATGCAGCTGCTTGGCCATGGAAACCCATTCCATGAAGCTCTCTATGCACTGATGTGCTATTCTGAAGGCCACACAAAGTTTGGAGGTCTTTAGCTATTGACTCTGCAGACAGTTGGTGACTTCTGCACAATGTGCGCTTTGCACGTGCTGACCCCGCTCTGTCATTTTACGTGGCCTACCACTTCGTGGCTGAATTTCTGTTGTTACCAGTTGCTTCCACTTTGTTATAATACCACTAACAGTTGACTGTGGAATATTTAGTAGCAAGTAAATTTCAAGGATGGACTTATTGCACAGGTGGCAACCTATCTTGGTACCACGCTTAAATTCACTGAGCTCCTGAAAGCGACCCATTCTTTCACATATGTTTGTAGAAGCAGTCTGCATGCCTAGGTGCTTGATCTTCTATGCCTGTGGCCTTGGAGGTGATTGGAACACCTGAATCCAATGATTTGGAGGGATGTCCCAATACTTTTGGCAATATAGTGTACGTCCACCCTTGCCTGTAACTTTGCCCCTATTCGTACTGAAGTAGTTGCTCCCCTGGAAGCTAGGAGAGGTATTTTACTCCAGATTTATCAACTTAGGGCTAGCATCTCTAACACTTTTACCCCTAACCTGCCTTCTAACTGTAACCAAACTACCTACCTATCTCTGGTGCCTGCACCTCAATATCACCCATATCACCACCATCCTCTATACTGGTACCAACCAGCACCTGACATGTAGGGCCCACACTCCTAACCAGATTGCTGATGCTTCACAGTGTTGCCAGCTGATTTTCTAGATCCAGGATCTGGACTTCCAAACAAACAACCCTCTCACATTTCACACAGCACTATTCACCTTTGAACAATTGTTTAAGGATTGTATACATAGAGCAACATGTGCAGCATGTCAAATCATCACTCCTGCAGGACGTGTTACCCTCTAACTTAATCACGATGTTCAAATTGAAAAAAAAATATATTAGGCTTTTATTTTATTGTAGTCACTTTTAATTGTTTGCCATAAATATTCATGGATGGACTTATTGCACAGGTGGCAACCTATCACAGTACCATGCTTGAATTCACTAAGCTCCTGAGAGCGACCCATTCTTTCACACCTGTTACCATGGAGGTGATTGGAACACCTGAATCCAATGATTTGGAGGGGTGTTCCAATACTTTTGGCAATATAGTGTATATTACATTGCCAATTCAGCCTGAACCTCTTTTTTGCATGACTGTAAATGTGCAATTACGTCTGTCATATTGGCGTAATCAGCAGATGTGCAAAACCAATCACTAGTGGCTTTGGTAAGGTTTGATGAGGAAAATATATATAGATTTACATATAAACATTGAACGCATATTCTGTCATGTATTTATAGTTGAAGTGATATAGTTGAAGTGATTTAATGAATATGTTTTTGACATGGCAGAATTTGTATAAGCTAATCTTGTCAAGAGAATTAATCAACTGTTCTAACGCTCAGCACACAAATTTTATTGCTGTATAAACGCCTTGACATTACACGTAGACATTGATTGCAAGTGTCTGCTAATTGGATGAAATTATTTGGATAGTTTAGGTAGGTCCTCATATTATTAGTTTTGGTAAATCTACAGTTGATTGTACAAAGATTGTACAATATATAGTGTGCTTTAGTGTTCACATCACATTATGTGTGCTTCTGTGATACAACATATTGTACAATGTATGCTCTGTTTTTGTGTACCAAACTGGGCACAGCCTACATAAACAGTGAAGTTGTGGATGGTGCCTGATGCATCTGATTATTAGCACTTTAAACACAATTGTGGTATCTTGACTACTCATATTCTCTTTCAAGTTTTTGGGTCCCCCTACAGTCCTACACAGCCAGGCAACACACATCTTCCTCCATGCTTGCACGCTGAGACAGTAACCAGTCCTTAGGCTTATTTTTGTGATTTTATTAAGAGGTATCAAACTTGGATTTGGTTGAGGGATGCATAGGATGCTCAAGAAACTGTGAACTGTGAGAACAAACTATGTACAAGTCTATGGACAGGAAGCAAAATCTGTCTCTTCTTTGAGAGCACTCCAGCTCTCCAGTGTACCTCCTCAGACCCCAGATGAATCCTCCTCTTCACCCAGCTGTACTAAGGGTATTCCCTGGAATCCAGAAGCTGCCATAGATTAAACAGTCCAAGCTGAGGAGCTAGTTGGGTTCTCCACCTGACTACCCTCTCCATTTATCCGGCCCAGGGGGTGTAAGGTTACTCACACTGTCCTTCCTGATAGCTTTATGGGTTGGTGGCTGCCTTCAAGCCTTCTGCTGGGCTAGCTCCTTCCCTGCTGCTCAGGTTGTCCCTCCTAGTAGATGGTGGCACAGTGAAGGTCCCCTCTTCCAAAATCAGTCTGTAGGTTGGTTCCTTCCCTGGGCCCCTCCTAGAATCCGGCCTCCTACTCCATTTTCCACCCAACACACACTGACCACTTCCTGCTGATGAGACTCAATCATATCTGAGGGCTGCCCTGACCCCATGCCAAGCCTCCTGCTTGGGGATTGGTCAAGGTCCCTCAGACATGAAGATCAGCCCCTCCTCACTGCCTTCTAGAAATTTCTCAAGTCTGTAGAGCAGGGGGAGGTATCAGTGAACTGATCTGCAGAGTCTACAGCCTTGACCCAAGGTGACCTGGCTGATGCACACCCAGGCTTACTCATGTCTAGGCTGCTATTCAGCCTCTGTCTACAAAACGTAACTAGCACCCCCTGGCTAACTAGAGGGCACTACAGTATTATGATTAAATGTTTTTACATAGTAGTGTATATTTATGCTTTTATTGTGGAATGCTTGAATTACATTGAACTGTGTACAGTGTGATTGAATGTTCTTGTAGTAGTTACTGTATTTTGCTAATGTAACCAAATGCTCTTAAGTAGATTTTCTTCTAGGATATAAGATTCATAATGAATTTGGATTTGGATTGAATATGCTTAAACAGTTTTTAGCTGAATTTAATATTTATATGTTCACATTCATTATTGCTTAGACTATAATGGTACCCAATCAGCAAACTGTTTTTGTTAGATCATTTTATGGACAGCAATCACTGGTTAATTTGTATTTGGGGCAAATTATCTAGAAAAAACAGAATTTAGTTGTTAGAGGTTTCTTGTGTTGCTGTTGATGCTCATACTAGTGATGCCATGGAGTGAATGTTACTGCTGCTATGCAGGAGCCTGACACTTCATGGAGGGAGCCAGATGCAGATCTCAAGATGGAGCTTTTGTGTCTGGATGCCAGCCTAAAATAAAAACCTTACCTGGGCCTCTAATGAGTACCATGACCAATGTCAGGGAGACAGTGCCACACTGGATATGTGTGGTGAGAGGGCTAGGACCGCTAACCCTGCCTGGAAAAAGGAAACATGGGAGAATATAGTGACATCTGTCACTAGGGGGGCTGATTTACTAAGAATAAGGTGAAGCAATAGTTACATAGTTAGTCTGGCTGAATATACACAAGAGTCCATCCAGTTCAACCATTAAAAAAAAAAGTTATAATCCTACACAGTTTATTCAGAGGAAAGCAAAAAAAAATAAAAACCAGCAAAGCATGATCCAATTTGCTCCTGCTGAGAAAAAAATTCCTTCCCGATACCCCGAGAGGCAATCGGATATTCCCTGGATCAACTTTACCTATAAATGTTAGTATCCAGTTATATTCTGTGTATCTAAGAAACAATCCAGGCCTTTTTAGAAGAAATCCACTGAACTGGCCAGAACTAACTTTTGAGGGAGTCTATTCCACATTTTCACAGGCAACCTGCCTTTTCATCAGCTTTGAAAAGGCAGGTTGCCTAGAAATGCGTCACCACCCCCTTGGAGGATTCCCAGCAACGGCCTGATGTCATTTCCTGCCCGGCGGCCATCTTGGATGTGCCTCAAGCTGGCTACTGTACCCACGCTGATGTGAGAGATCAGCAGTGCCTGCCCTGGATCCCGGTTCTTATCTGCGCCGCGACTCCCGGTTACTGCGCCTGCCATCCTCGCCTCCTCCTGTGGGACCCGCCTAGAGCGCCAGCCACGCAACACCTTGGCATTACAGCCATCCATTTGTGAGGTGCAGCACAGATGACATCCTCCTCCTTATATATTGATGCCTGATATCTACCCACGTCTTGTGAGTTTTTTATAATCTTGTGTGCAATAAACTTTTATATTCATACTGCACTTAGTCTGGCGCACTTCTCTTTCTTCTCCATTTACCACAGAGTTCGGTTTACTCTAGAAAGTGCAAGCCTCACGACAGTGTCTACATTGCAGCGTTGTATATATACAGTTGCAAGAAAAAGTATGTGAACCCCTTGGGATTACGTGGAGTTTTGCATGAATTGGGCATAAAATGTGCTCTGAACGTCATCTAAGTCACAACAATAGAAGAACACAGTCTGCTGAACATAATACTACACAAACATTAGATGTTGCCATGGTTTAATTGTACATAACATGTAAACATTCACAGTGCAGGGAGGAAAAAGTATGTGAGGCCCTAGCTTAATGACTTCTCCCAGAGCTAATTGGAGCCAGGAATGAGCCAACCTTGACTCCAATCAGTGTGATGATATTGGATGTGTTGCTGACAGCTGTCCTGCCCTTAAAAAACACACACCTGTTTTGGGTTTACTGGTTTCAAGAAGCACTGTCTGATGTGAACCATGCCTCGCAGAAAAGAGCTCTCAGAAGACCTACCATCAAGAATTGTTGACTTGCATGAAGCTGGAAAGGGTTACAAAAGTATCTCCAAAAGCCTTGATGTTCATGTGTCCACGGTAATACAGACTGTCTACAAATGGAGAAAGTTTAGCACTGTTGCTACTCTCCCTAGGCGTGTTTGTCCTGTAAAAATGACAGCAAGAGCACAGCGCAGAATGCTGCATGAGGTAAAGAAGAATCCCAGAGTGTCAGCTAAAGACCTACAGAAATCTCTGGCACATGCTAACATTTTTGTTGACACATCTACAATAAGGAAAACATTCAACAAGAATGGAGTACATGGGAGGACACCACGAAGGAAGCCATTGCTGTCCAAAAAGAATATTGCAGCACGTTTGAAGTTTCCAAAAGAGCACCTGGATGTTCCACAGCACTACTGGCAAAATATACTGTGGACAGATGAAACCAAGATTGAGTTGTTTGGGAAGAAACACACAACACTATGTGTGGAGAAAAAAAGGCACAGCACACCAACATCAAAACCTCATCCCCACTGTAAAACATGCCGGAGGGAGCATCATGGTTTGGGGCTGCTTTGCTGCCTCAGGGCCTGGACGGATTGTTGTCATGGGAAAATGATGGGAAAATGAATTCCAGAGTTTATCAAGACATTTTGCAGGAAAACGTACGTACGACCATCTGTCCGCCAACTGAAGCTCCGCAGAGGATGGGTGATGCAACAGGACAATGACCCAAAGCATACAAGTAATTCAACAAAACAATGGCTGCAACAGCCCACAGAATACGCCTTCTGGAGTGTGGCCAAAATTATTCAACCCCCAGTCAGAGTCCTGAGCTCAACCCGATTGAAATGCTGTGGCATGACCTTAAGAGAGCGATTCACACCGGACATCCCAAGAATCTTGCTACACTGAAACAGTTTTGTGAAGAGGACATGGTGGTCCAAAATGACTCCAGATTGTTGTGCAGGTCTGATCTGCAACTACAGGAAACGTTTGGTTGAGGTTTATTGCTGCCAAAGCGGAGGGTCAACCAGTTATTAAGTCCAAAGGTTCACATACTTTTTCCTCCCTGCACTGTGAATGTTTACAATGTTATGTGCAATTAAACCATGGCAACATCTAATGTTTGTGTAGTATTATGTTCAGCAGACTGTGTTCTTCTATTGTTGTGACTTAGATGACGTTCAGAGCACATTTTATGCCCAATTCATGGGCAAAACTCCACGTGAATCCCAAGGGGTTCACATACTTTTTCTTGCTGTAAAAACTGTATGTATACACATATATATACACCATCTATAACCTTCAATTTCTCAATCCAGTACTGTTTGCATCACAAGGCCTTTTTTCCCCTCCTTTCCCTCCCCCCCTTTTTTTCCCCTCCCCTCCCCCCTTCCCTTTCCTCCTCACCACTAAAGCTGCATCATCTACTTGTTGTCCCTTTATTACTAGCATATATGATTATATATCTTAATTTCTGGTTACTGGATTATTTTGTTTAAGATCTACTGAG